TTGGTGAGGTTTAACATCAATATTCATTGTGAGACCCGGAAACAAATTTGTACTCAAAGAGTTTGTAAATAGTTGGTTTGTAGCTGCTGATTTTGGAGTGTAAGTCGAGTGGCGAAGAATTCTAAGAAATATTTTATAGCATAGACACATTATGAGAGTTAATACACATAAATCATATTGCAAAAAACTTTTAAAAAATGCGTATCTTCAAAAAGTCGCAAAAGTTAAATTTCAAAGTACTACTGTATTTTATCGGAATTAAAAACAATTATAATTAAAAGCATTTTGTATTTGACATTTAGATTTTTATCTCGGACATCGTTCTCAAAATACAAACTAAACAAAATATTTTTTTGTTCTTTGGAAATAGACAATTTATTACAACAGTTTAATTTTATCTGCCTCAGTCAGAGTTACAATAAAGTAAAATACCTGTATTGATTAGTGACCAGTGTAGTAGGGACTGGTTGCTCAGGAGACTGAGACCTTGGAAGTACTGAAGAAGACATCAAAAAAAAATGTCCAAAGCTCGACGCACTGATAATCGACGCGGTTCAACCCGGAAGCCTGTTGAGTTCAATATTAATTCTTGTAATAGTAATCTTAGCTTTAGGTTTAATATATATATATATATATATATATATATATATATATATATATATATATATATATATATATGTTGTACTTGTGAATATCCATTAGCAATAAAAAACCGATATACAAATTTTATTACTTAAATAAAAATTAAAATTATTGATATTTCATAAAGACACGGGCATATAAATTTTCAAACATCCTGTATAAGACAAAATATGTATTTTAAGTTGTTCGAAGAATTGTTCATTAGGCCTCAGAGACAAGACTTTCAAATATTATCGATAAGAAATTTAAATAAGTCGGTTATTGTGGAATGGATTTACCCGGAATAAAAGTGTATATAGACAGTGTTTAAACAATAGACCGGGATTTGCGGTGGTTTTTCTCCCCGAAAGATTATATCGTTAAAAGTTTATTAACAAAAGACATTGAATTGAGAAACAGGTATCGTTTGTAGCTATTAGTAAGAAATATTTGTAAAGCAGATAGATTTAGTTAGAATAATTAAAGAATGTTGTTTTCTGGAATTACCCGAATGACGTTTTATAGAGAGAGTTGGTTGGTAACGATATACGTCACAGAGGTGGATGATTTTTATTGGTCAATTTTTGAATGCAAGGAGGTAGTGGTTTTGGCTATGAGATAGGAGGGAGGAAAATAGTTAGTCAGTTTTCGTAGTCCAAGAAGGAAGGAGCTGTGTGGTTTGTGTTTGTTTGAAGTCCCGAAGACGTAATTTACCGGGTGTGTTTATTTGCTGTGTAAAAGCTGATCAGTGTGAGGAACGGAGACAGAGCGATAGAAAAACCAAAGGGTATAAGAATATTAATATCAGACGAAGCCGGAAACATTTGAAGTTATAAACAGGCGCGGAGATTGGCTCAAAAGGAGGCTGCATAGAATTACACGAGTTGTTGGGTTGCAGATACAAGGACAGATAGGAGAAAGGTGTACGTCATCTGGACCACAATAGGAGCAGAAGCAGAGAAAGGTTTTTTTTTATGGCGTGGTCATAGAATTGCAACGGCAGAGAACGAAAGGTCAGTCAATTTTCATTAGAGCAGGAGTGTGGTTTTCATTTATTAATTAAATAAATTGAATAAATAATAGAGACAGTTAATTTTGCGATCATTTAAAGAAAAAATTAGAAAGAGAGCTTAGTTATAACACATATTAAAAATCAATGTAAAATAACATTTGGGTCCATGATAGAAAACAACTTCTCATATATTTAAAGTATTATATTGCAAATATTACAGGATTGATTGTTATATAAAATTTCATTAAAATAAAGGACATCTCACATATAGTTCAGTTGAAATTCTGTGTATTTTATTCAGGTCATATTACCTATCCCAATTAGGAAGCCAATTGGAAAATATTTTGAATCCACGATCAAAGGTAAATAGTACAAGTTAAATAGCCTGAGATTGTAATTAATTAATGCTGATTTATTGTGATTAATTGGAGATTAGATCATTTAATAAATATAGACAAGATCTTTTCTAAATAAGCAATAGAATACAATTTAAATAGCATATCAAAATGGGCCCCAACGTGTAAAGCTTTGAAAAATATTTCTAGTTGGCAAATTTGAAAGAATATAGAGATAGAGGTCAAAATTTTAGAAGAGATTATCCAAGACGAGAATTCATACCTAGACGGGGATACGAAAATAGACCGAACGGAAGAGAGAATTATGAACCCAGAACCCAGAGATGGAATGAAAACAGGGATCGGGAAAATCAGAGTAGAAATAACCGCCCATACCAAGGAAACAGATACAATAACCCACGGAATGAACAGGAATCTCGCGTTAACCGATACGGGAATGATAGACCAAAAGAGAACACAAGAGAAATAAATAATATGCAAAGAGAAGAAAATGAATATAAGAGAGAAGATGACGGGCGAGAAAACACAGAAGAACAACAGGCGTGTTTTCAAGAAGGCGCTCACTAAAAACGAAGAAACAAACAGGAATTTTTTGTCACCCCAAGGAATTTATTAAACTGGCAGGAAACAATGAAAAGAGAAATGGAGTTAATTTAAAATTTGTGGATGGATTTATAAATGAGAAACCAATTAAAATTATGATAGACACAGGCTCTGAAATAACACTGGTCAACAGAAAATTAATCGAAGAAGTAAATTTAACAAGTCTAATTTATAAAATACCTAGGGTGAATTTAGTGGGCGCAAATAAACGGACATTGGCAACAATAAATGAAGGTATACGAGTAAGGGTACGATTGAAAAAAAAATATGTATGCACTTCAATGTGTAATAATGCCGAATATGTCACATGACATGATTGTAGGCGTTGACGAATTAACGGAAAAACATGTAGTGATTTTTCAATTTTTTATCGTGTTTGTGAAGTCCAGTGTCGGCTTTTTATATGTTTTTTATATGTTTTAAGATTTTCAACAACTAAAAAAATCATAATTTTGAAATATAAGGAAATGAGATCTCTCCTTTGTAGTGGTATTTAAAAAATTGACCATAGCTCTGATGATGGCTTTGTAAAGCCGAAAGCGCTCAGCTAGGAATTGCCTAAAATATACACACTTCAAAAATACTTTATTGCATTTTCTTTCGACTTGTCATATGTGAGTACAAAAAATATCAGTATTTTGATTTATAAAATGATATTTTATAATATCATTTTTAATGATGCCTTAAAAATTTAACAATTTAAACAAACATTTTTTTATAATAAATCGAAAACGACTAAATCGATTTGGCCATTTTTGGTGTTGAAATATTTGAAATCTTAGGAAAGTCTAATATGTGTGAAAATATGATGGAATTATAAGGAAAATAGTAGAAGCGTCAGCTTTATTTCCCCATACAAACAGTTACATTATACTCTTATACAAAATATTGTATACGATGTACGTCTACAGTTGTTCATTTCAAAGTGACGTTTAACAAACTCCAAAGTGACATCAATTTACTTTTTTCGTTTCGCTTAATATGAAATTTGAAAAAAATAATATGAAATTGTAAGAAAAATAGTAAAAGCAGTTTTATTTTCCAATACAAACACTTATATATACTGATTTATACCATATACCATCAGATATTAACTTTTATTAGTTATGTATGAACTGTTTTAAACCATGTGATTTTTACTCGTGAGTAAAATATTTCTATTTCTGACAAAATTATTTTTGTAGAATTAAACTTCCTGAAAATTAACAGGAAGGTGTCAAACCGCCGGAATGATCTCATTCTGTAAAAGTTGCAAATATTTGGGCCCGTTTAAATTTTCATCGATAAAAAATGGACCGACAATATGGTCGCCTAAAATCCCCGTCCAAACATTTAACTTTTGCGGATGCTGCATTCACATTGCAACACTGAGGTGCTTATTTTTCCGAGAATAATACCTTGCAACGAACGGTTTGTGTTTTTTATGTAATGAAAAAGAAGATTCGTCAGAAAATAAATATTTTTTAAAAAGTGTACACTTTCATTCTGTTTATCTAACATAAATTCACAAAACTCCATCCGCCTAAAGTTATCTTCCGGAAACAGTTCTTTTGTTTCTTAAATCAGTGATACCCATTCCTTTTGAGAACCCGCTGGACAGTTTGAGTATTCACGTTAACTTCCCTAGAAATTTGTACACTATTGCAGGGTTCACTAGCTTTCACAAAAGCACAAATATCAATATATCTGTTTCGACGCTCCTCATCAACAGATCTAACACGTGGTTCATTACCTTCATGACACTTTTTACAAGTGTTTACACATCCCGAAGTTTGAAAATGTTTAATGGTATTTTTAACTGTTCTAACACTTGTTGGGAATCTATTTTTGTTAGGACAACAATAAATAAATCAATTACTTCGCTATCGAATGACCCTGAAAGTACCATGTTACAAGTTGCACTTTCTCTTGGACGGTATACAACGTAATAGGCATTTTATTAATTATTTGTTTATTCTCTCAGAACTTCGTTTGAAATTTTTGATGTCAATGTGACAATTACGACAATTAGTACCTAGTGTGAAATGAATATAGCGGTGGAAACGTGTAACATGTCACAGCGATTTCCTTTGTGTTGTATGGTCAATAAAACAATGCTGTGATCTGTATAGCGAACCAACAATAACGATAATGAAAACACAGAGAAGACGATATTTAGAACACATTGAAATAATGAGAAAGGAAATAATGCCGAACATGGCCTAACTAACTGTCCTGTTGAGCTTTGTAAATAAATAAATTTTGCATTCACAGCAATAACTGTCACGTCATACTGCATGGTAATTTTATCATGGCATTCTTAAATTAAGATTGTTTTAGATGAATCTATAATAAGATTGTACATTTAAAAAAAAATCAACTAAACCAGGGTCAGTATTTAATAATTATTGTTATTTCTATTGTTGCAGGTTACCATTCCAGCTTCCTGGTGGCCACCTCTACCTTCTCCAGACAAAGACGGTCGACCTGGAAAGTTTACGAAGACTCCTCCGAGACTAATACAAGTCGCCTACTCTGTCCTAGAACCATGGCCCGACGAAGGTGAAGGTTGCCATCCGAAGATGCAGGTCCAACCATCGGCAGTATTGGGCAGCGTGCAGCTAACACCAGCCAAGGGGGCCTACAAGGAGTTGAAGTTGACCGAAGCTGTAACTATACTAGTACCTCATCCACCGTTGTTTCCAATGTCTAGAATTTATTTACCTGTATTCATTGATAAGGAAAAAGCAAAAATGATGACTGCTATCGTTGTTAAGTAAGTATTTTTAAAAAGACTTCTTTACCATTTATTTATGAAAGATATATAATAGTGGTTTGATTATGTAGTCTTAGATTCTTAAAAAAATGTGCAATTATTGGAATACTCTTAATTTTTCAAAACAAATTTCGGTAATTCGCTTTATAAAAGACAACAAAACACAAATTTATATTTCGAGAACGATTTCCAAATTGAAAATAGAAACATCAAAATAAACGTATTTTAAACTGTAATATTGATTGTAATCCCAATTAAAGATAATAAATAACATTAAAATGCCCCAAGAAGATACTCACTCACTCACTCCGTGGCGTTACAACCCTTCGTGGGTTTTAGCCGACTCGACAACATGCCTCCACTATTTTCTGTCTTAAGCAACCTCCATTCAATGCTCCACGCCCATAGTGCTTAGGTCTCCTGCTATATTATCTCGCCACCGGAGACGAGGGCGTCCGCGTGATCTCCTTCCAGTTGGGACTTCCTCCCACACCAGTCTTACTGTTCGTTCGTCAGAATGTCTTCTGAGGTGTCCTGCCCATTGGAGTCTTCTGGACTTTATTTCTTTTATGATGTTGGCGTCTGGGTAAAGTTCTTCAAGCTCTTTATTAGTTCTTATCCTATATTGTCCTGATGCTTCATCAAGCACCGGACCAAAGATCTTCCTTAGGATTTTTCTTTCCCAAACACGTAGTCTTTCTTCATTTGCCTTTGTTATCGTCCACGTTTCGCTTCCATACATCACAACGGGTCGTATGATTGTTTTATAGACCTGTATCTTCGTACGTCGTGTTAGTTGTTTTGATTTTATAAGATTTTGGAGGGCAAAAATACATCTGTTGCCGGCCTGAATCCTGTTGTTTATTTCTTGTGATCCGTTATTGTCTTCAGTTATTGTTGTTCCAAGATACTTGAATTCTCTAACGCGCTCAAAGTTAAAGTCATCGATGGTAATGTTCTGACCGATTCTCTCTCTGCTTTGGTTATTGCGGCTCATATACATATATTTCGTCTTGTTTTCGTTGATTTGGAGCCCCATCTTCTCTGCTTCCTTCTCAAACCTTACGAAAGTCTCCTTAAGAAGAAAATCACCCCAAGAAGATAGCTTAAGAATAATAATGAAAACGTGTGTGATGTCCTTTATCAAATGCTTTCTCGAAATTAGTAAAATATGCGAAGACATAGTAAGTCAGTTTCTAAAGCCCAAACTGATCCTTATTAATGTTTTCATTAAGTTTATGTATATAAAAGAATAAATCACACAAAGAAGAATTTTAAGTGCATGACATTTGTTTTGTGTAAACTTACTGAAGTCGCTGGTTAAATAATTAGAATAAGATCCAAAAAAATGCAATATTTTGATTGTGAATAAATTAGCAACTAATTTAAATATCACGAAAGTATCTGGAATAACTCAATAATGTTATCTGTACAAAGAAAACACTTACCTGTTAAATATGGTCTATTGATTGTAGCAAGTGGTAGAAGAGTAGCTAGTCCCTTGGTGAAAACCGTGCCTAGGCACGAAAGGACTTCTCCGATAAACTGGAGATGTTTACACTACGCTGTCTCGATTTAATTTCTCGTCCCTTGGTATGAGATAGGCAGAAATCCTCTGACACCTTTCCTAGGTGGTCCATAGGTATGTGGGGCAAATGCACACCCATTAATAAATGCTATTGAATTTCACTCTTGAGAGACCATAATTTGTTTACAGAAATTTGATATTTTGTACCGTTTTCTGTGCTTGAGAAGCAGTTAACAAATAATAAAGACAAGTGAATTTCTTTTAACTTAAAAACATATTATCATGTGAATAGAAGAATAATAATATACTGTAAGTTTTCAAAGTATATGAGTAGTTAGAATATATCATTAAACAAGATCATATTATAATACAGTAATAAAAATATTGAATGTAAAATATGTAAATAAATACTAAATACTTTCCCAAACATTCTCCCCCTCCAAAAACGAATGTTTTTAAGAACAACTGAAAATATAAGTGTAAAGGATAGACATGAAAAGATCAATATACTAATAAAGATAATATTGATAGATTTGTCTCTAGGCAATTCACCGTGTTCATACGTTTTATTAAATAGACTTGTTAAGAGTTGGAGTTGGTCACCTTCAAATAGTTTTAGTATTTTGGGTCAGCTGCTTGATTGTTCTTTAGTCGGGTTTTCGAATGTATTACCTCACCTGACGTGACCTCCTGACGTGACCTCCTGACAGTTATGTCTAGTCCTGAAGATTCAAGAATATAGGTTTCTATTTGTTGATCTTTTTCGAATAATTGTTCCACTTTCGCAAAGCAGTTTATTATTTGTCCAGTATTTAATTATTTTTCGCCAGTTCTTTTCTCCATTTGCTCCAGTTGCTTTATTTTCTTATGTAGATTGAAGGTGTTACGTCCCTATTTCAGTGATTCTATTTCAATCCATCAGTTTGATCTTGTTTATGATTCTATGTATTTCTTTGTATCCTCCGTATTTTCTTCGATATTTCATGAAATCTAATATATCTTTTCTCATCCACTATTGCTTCTTTATATTTCTCTTCTCTGCTTTTAGTTTACAGTCTCCTACTGAATTACATAAATTTTTTATTTTATTCCGCGTATCATTCGCAGTTATGTAATGTTGACTATGTTCTTTATTTTGTTGTTAAGCTCTCTTTTGACTTCTTCTTTTGCGTTGTTATCTTTCAACGTCTGGTAGTCCGATCGTTTTGGACTTTTCATTTAGAAACTTTTTTCATGTATAGGTTAAACCGACCCAACAAAAGATAGTCTGAGGAAATATCCGCTTCTGGATACGTTTTTACGCATTTTACGGAATTTTAAAATTTTCTGTTTACGGTAATATATTCATATCTGGTTTCTGATAACTTTTTGGGGACAGTCAACTAGAGATTTCCAGGTATAAACTCTTCGAAGCGGAAACTGTTAAAAGGTGTTCATTATCACAATGTCTGTTTCTTGACAGTCGATCCTTTCTTATTCATAACCCAAAGTGTCCTACAGTATTGTCATAACTCATTTGCCAACCTTAGCTTTAAAGTTTTCTTACTATTTACTTCCTTTTTTTATGTACTTTAGAGTTTTCTTTAATTGTTCATATAGTAGTCTACCTCTTGCTCTGAGCTTTCGGAAGTTGAAGAGTATGCCGGAATAATATTCAATTTAAATGGTGTGTGCTTCTGCGACTCTATCCGATATTCCCACGAAATCTAGTACAGAGTTGTTAACTTATTTGTTCACTATTTACTTACTTCGTTCTTGTTTGTTGTAGATGCGTCTCAGGAGTAGTATACTGTATGATTGCCTATTTCACCGTGATAGACACACTTTACTTAGCAATCTTCTTATCTCGTATTGGTTTAAATTTATGTGACAACCAGAGTATTCTTAACTTTCTCTCATTATTTAAGGGGTATCCGAGACTGTCTGAATCAAATCTATAGAGACGTCGTATTCATGATACTATGACTAAGAAGATAAGATATTGCGCATAAGTCGTGACGTAATTGGAGAGTTGCACGTTCGTAATGTCAGTTTTTTGTATGTATCAATATATATATATATATATATATATACATATACACCCCAGTGTGGGGTTAAACCGCAAATGCTTTCTAGATCCTATTTCTTAAGTGGATCAGTCTTTTTTGTTTATCTTATCTTCTTGACAATATCTTTCCATTTTTTCCTGTCTCTAGTTCTTCCTCTCCATTCTCTGACTCCTGCCCTTTGTAGGTCTTCTTCAACTTCTTGCAGCCACTTTGATCTCGGTCTTCCCCTTCTCTTTCTTCCTCCTGGATTCCATTCTATCATTGCGTATGTCACTGCCTCATCGCCTGCTTGCCAAATGTGACCTAACCATCTAACTCTGCATTGCTTTATTTTAGTTACGAGGTTTTCCTTAAGTTCTTTCTTAATTTCTGCATTTGTTCTGCTTCTATATTCATTTTGCTCTGTTCTGATTGGTCCTAGTATGGTTCTTATAATCTTTCTCTCTGCTATTCTCAAGTCTTCTTCATCTTTTTTAACCATCGTCATTGTTTCTCCTGCATATAATAATATTGGTCTAATTATGGTGTTATAAATGCTCATCTTACTTTTTTTAGTCAGTGTTTTGCTTTTAAGTAATTTTTTGTTTGCAAAATAAGCTTTATTCGCCGCTAATATTTTTTCTTTTATTTCGCATTTCCTTTCTCCGGATTTACTTATTGTAACTCCTAGGTATTTGAAGTATTCTACTTCTTCTTCAGAACTTCCTATTTTAATTTTTTCTTTCATTGGTTTTTTCCCTAATCTTAATATTTTTGTCTTTTTTTGATTTATTCTTATGTATGTATCAATAAATAATCTTTAATAAATAGTTTGGAGATATCCTTATGTGTACGATTATTGTAATTATTAAACCTCTTAACTTATTTTCGTCTAGTTTCTTCTTATAGTTTTTTAAATATTATATTATTATTATCTTTTGTACAAAAATAATACAAGAAAGTCATTTAATATCATGTAGCCAAATGAATAATTTCATCACAGAATGCATACAAATCCCATTTAACTTTAACAGAAATTCAAATTCTACTCTCCAATGACGGAATGCACGAACACAACCGATTTTGTGCTACGGGAAGATCCTATCTTGTTAGTCATATTATCATGGTCGTATTGAACTTTCATTGATACTGATTCAGTAATGACATAGCTGCTGCCCTATATCATGTTTGTCTACTAGCCCTAAAATCCTGGTTGCCATTTCCGTCGAATTTATCATTGTATTCTTCATGTGTTACCCTATATAAGGATCCTTACCGATGTTATCAGCAGGGACAACTAATAACAGATTTAACTGCATCGGGTGTAAAACTATTCAGTGCATCCCACTTTTTACGCAGACACAAATTTACTGCTCACTGGATTCCAAGATCGTTTAAAATTTATGTTATTACGAAATTTGATACACTATCAACAAAAAGGCAAT